GCAGGAGGGAGTGCGGGGTGTGGGAGGGGGTATGGTGTGCAGGAAGGGGCTCAGGGCAAGGGGTTGGGGTGCAGGAGGTGTGCAGGGTGTATGAGGGGGCTCAGGGCAGGGGGCTGGGGTGCAGAAGGGATGCAGGGTGCAGCAGGGGGCTCAGGGCAGGGGGTTGGGGGCTCAGGGCAGAGGATTGAGGTGCAGGAGGGGTGCAGAGGGCTCAAGGCAGCAGGTTGGAGTGTGGGGTGCAGGAGGGTTTCGGGGTGCAGGCTCCTGCCCAGTGCCACTTACCTTGAGCGCCTCCGGGGTGGCAGCGGTGCACAGCGGGACTAAGGCAGGTTCCCTCCCTGCCTTGGCCCCGCGCCACTCCTGGAAGCAGCCGGCACCATGTTCCTGCGGCCCCTGGGAGAGGGGGGGCAAAGGGCTTCTCGTGCTGCCCTTGCCTGTGGTTACTTCCCCCGAAGCTCCCATTGGCTGCAGTTCCCCGTTCCCGGCCAATGGGAGCTGCGGGGGGCAGTGCCTGCAGGCGAGGGCAGCGCACGGAGCCCTCTGCCTCCCCCAGGGGCCGCAGGGACATGGTGCTGGCTGCTTCTGGGAGCGGCACAGGGCCAGGGCAGGCAGGGAGCCTGCCTTAGCTGCGCTGCGCCGCGCCATGGGGCTGGTAATCCCGCAGGCCGGATCCAAAGCCCTGACAGGCTGGATCCAGCCCGTGGGCCGTAGTTTGCCCACCCCTGGACTAGATGATCTAATCATCCCTAAAATATCCTCAAATCTGCCTCAGTGGTTGCTGTTGTGCCAGGGTGAGGGACATCAGGTTGTGGGAACACACAGTGAGGGGGAGCCCCAACAAAGGTATTGAAAGCTGCCATCTGTGTGCACAGGAAGTGAGCTGCACTATGTGTGTGTTGAGGAGACAGCATACGTACAGGCTGGACCCTGCTGAGTGCATGGGAAGGGGATCGCACTGTGTGCATGGCAGGGCATCCTGTGCCTAGAGGCGAGTGTGCATAGAATGGACAGCACAGTGCTCCACTGCAGGGCCACGCTGCCTTTCTGGACCCACAAGCCCAGCTTGTCCTGGGGTGTTGGTGAAGAGGAATATGTGCTCCACCCCATGCACACAATGGTCCCCTTTCTGCACAAGGCGGAGCTCCACCACCACCTGCAAAGAGCCATGAGAGTGGCTGGGCAGAGAAGCCAAGGGACCAGGGCTGCTCTAGCTGTGTTTCTTGTCCTGTGAGAGAGATTGCCAGCCCCAAGGGAAGTATGCGCACTGCCTATGCCATAGCAGTGACCCAGGGAGGCCTGTGGGCAGGCAGTGGTGACAGAGGAGGGTGAGAGCAAAGGAGTACAGGATGGGAAGAGAATGAAAGGGGAGAGAAGATGGGGGTTGATGGGGAAGAGTGGACTGAAGGGCCGATGGCGTGGAAGGGGGAGACAACACAGGGGGAGAAGGGGACAGAGAAATGGAGAGAGGAGGAGAAATGAGACTGAATAGGAACACACTGGAAAAGCTGAGTGCAAAGGAGGAAAGCAGCAAAGGACTGTGCCAGAGGGACGGGGAATGTGCCACCCTTCCCTGGGAGCAACCCGCAGGAATTGTCCATGCAGCTGGCGAGGAGCAGCCCACAGAGCTCAGCAACCACTGGGCCCCCTCTGCATCCAGCACTCTGGGTTAAGGCTAAGGGCAGTGGATTGCGTGGCTTGGGCCTAGCTGGGCAGGACGTGTGAGCCGGAGGAAGCCCTGTACACTCCTGCTCCAGGACAGGGAGGAGGGGTTTCTTCGGCTCCCTTGCTGTCCAGGTGGGGGAAGAGGCTGTAGCTGCTTTGGGCAGCTGATTACTTTTCCAGCTGCAGCAGCTTCTCCCCACAGCCGCCTCTCTAAACACATTGTGCCCACGGCCGGGGCCATGCCACAGGCCTCCTTCCTCAGTTAAACTTGCCCACCAGGCCCTTCCCCTTACATCCAGCCCCTTACAACCAGGGCATGCAGCCTCCCCGCCCACCCCACCCCACCCCCACTTCCCTGTCTGTGCTGCAGCAGAGCCCCTCTCCTCTGGAGCAGGACCCTTTCCCACACGCCCCACCCCCAATTACTAATATACTCACAGGGGGCCGTATCCCTGCAGCGCCTGACAAGCATCACTTAACCTGCCTCACTGCCATGTAATAACCTCATCTATCAACCTGGACGAGACTGCAGGGCCATTGCAGGGAGGGGCTCTCTTTAAGCAGCAAATGTCATTATCCAAAGTCCCTGGTCCCCTTGCTTGATATGCAAAAAACTCGCTGGCTCCCCAGAGTCCCGTGCAGAGAAAATGCCCCGCAAAATGGACATTTGTCATGTTCTGCACGCTGATGCATTGCCCAGGAAATGGGAATGATTACACCAGCGGTGGTGGGCCCAGCAGAGCCAGCCTGACACCTGGTGGCACAGCGAGAAAACACACCTCTTCAGGAGAGAGGCCCAGACCAGGAACCAGGGAAAGCTGGACCCTCTGGCTGGGGAAAACCTGCTGCATCTGACAATTGTCCCTCGGGGGCTATTGGGTTTATTTACCTTCCAAGGAACAGTTCACTCTTCCCCCGTGGAGGCATTCACTGGGGTCGGCCTTACCCGCACGGCCGCTCTAGGCCGAGAATATTTCTATACCACCCCCAAAGGGTGGAAAGGCAAAATGCTGACAAGCGAATGCAAGTGTCGCCGGCAACTCTGGCCGCATAGGCTGCAATGTAAGTACATGGCCCCAGGCCTACAGAGATGGAGGGCATGTGCTCAGCTTTAAGGACGCGAGCAGGCCCATTTGGTCCGGGCACCCCTGGAGATCAGAGATAGGCGCTCCAGCAGTCGGCAGAGGCAGGGCCTAACGCTTATTGGGGGTGAGACTCTCTCAGTGCGTGTACGTGCAGCGCCCAGCACGATGGGGCCCTGATTTCGTTTGGGGCCTTTTGACACCATTGGAACACGGACCATTAACCATGAGCCATACGAATGATTTCCCACCACAGGCTCTGCATGGGCAGGCCCTTGCTTCCACCTGAGCTATGTCCTTTTCCTGCCATCCCCCCATTTCTTCCTTCCTTCCTCTTCCCATATTGTTCGTTTCTCTCACCCGTTTGCTCTCTCGCCTTCATCTCCCTCTTCCTCCAGCCCCTGTGCCTGTTTCCCCAACCCCACCTCTGTCTGGCTCTCCCTGGAGCCTGTCTCTCAGCTGAGTCTCCCTTCCTCTCGCCCCGGTGAGCAACAGCCACGTCTGCACAGAGCTGGGGGTGTTCTGAAAAGCAGGTACAAGGCGTCTCTTGGTCACAAAGAGGCTGAGCTACCAAAACTCCCTGGCTGCCCCCACAGAAAGTGGGGCGGCAGCTCTCTATCCCTTATTGGGATCCTTCCCCTCTTGCTCTCCCTTTCTCGGGTTCGCCTTGACTTCCCTCTCCTAGTTCCTCCACACTTCTCTGTCCCCTGTGGGCAGCTCTCTGCTTTAGCATGGCTGGCGCTGTAGTGAGGGCCCAATCCCAGCAGGTACCTGCTGGCGGGACGGGTGCACAGCGCTGGAGGAGGCTGGCACGACAGGCACAAGGCCCCACATGCTATCACTTTTGGTAGGTGGCCAGTCACCACTCTTTGGAAGCAGGGCAGGTGACTGAGGCCAGGACCTGAATACACAGGCCCCCAAAGGCCACCCCAAGGTGCATGGCCATGGAGAATCAGTCCTGGGGCACTGGGGGCCAGGGCTCCCAGCAGGGCTAGCCAGGCAGGGGCTGGGAAAGGCAGGGAATGGCACAGGGCAGAGAGGGGAGCACTGGTGCTATGGGGAGGGGAGGGGCTGGCACAGAGCAGGGAGGGGAGCACTGGTGCCATGGGGAGGGGAGAAGCTGGCACAGGGCATAGGGTTGCCAACTTTCTAATTGCACAAAACCGAACACCCTTGCCCCGCCCCCTGCCCTGCCCCTTCTCTGAGGCCCCACTCCTACTCACTCCAGCCCCCTCCCTCCGTCGCTTGCTCTCTCCCACCCTCAATCACTTTCACTGGGCTGGGGCAGGGGTGAAGGCTCTGGGGTGGGACCAGGGATAAGAGATTTGGGGTGCAGGAGGGGGCTCCAGGCTGGGGCCGAGGGATTTGGAGTACAGAAGGGGGAGCCAGGGGGTTGGGGTGCAGGAGGGGGGTCAGGGCTGGGGCAGGGGGTTGGGGTGCAGGAGGGGGCTTGGGGTGCAGGCTCTGGGAGTGGGGACGAGGTGCAGGCTCCAGGAGGGAGTTTGGGTGCGGGTTTCGACCTGGGGCAGGGGGTTGGGTTGCAGGTGGAGGTGCGGGGTCTGGGAGGGAGTTAGGGTGCAGGAGAGGGTTCCAATCTGGGGCAAGGAGGTTGGGGTGCAGGCTCTGGGCAGGTGGCGCTTACCTCAGGCGGCTCCCAGTTGGCAGCGCAGCGGGGCAAAGGCAGGCTCCCTGCCTGCCCTAGCCCTACACTGCTCCCGGAAGCGTCCAGCGTATCTGGCTCCTAGGCAGAGGCGCGGCCAGTCGGCCCTGTGCAGTGCCCGTGTGGCAGCTCCCATTGGATGCAATTCCCGGACAATGGGAGCTATGGAGCTGGCGCTTGAGGCAGGGGCAGCACGCTGAGCTTCCCTGGCTGTGCCTCTGCCTAGGGGTCATAGGGACATGCCGGCTGCTTCCAGGAGCTGCGTGAAGCCAGGGCAGGCAGGGAGCCTGCCTTAGCCCCGCTGCATCAGCGACCGGACTTTTAACAGCCTGGTCAGCAGTGCTGACTGGAGCTGCCAGGGTCCCTTTTAGACCAGGCATTCCGTTCGAAAGCCAGACACCTGGCAATGCTAACAGGGTGAGGAGGGGAGCACTGGTGCCATGGGGAGGGGAGGGGCTGGCACAGGGCAGGGAAGGGTGAATGGTAGCAAAGGTCTAGCCCCTAGCGTGAGTGAGGGGTGGCTGCGGGGTGCAGCCAGCCAGGGCCTGACCACCAGAGCGGAAATAAGCAGGACAGGCAGCATTGCATCAGCCACTTGCTTTATTCACAGACTCCACGCGGTTTCCCTGGCAAAGGGGGAGCTGCCCCACCCCTCACTCTACAATGCAGCGGAAGGACTGGACAGTGGGGGACACAGCCCCCCAGTCAACGGGCTTACGGTACTCCCCCTTCTCCAAGAGGTACTGCCTGCCCCGGAAGTTGGGGTGCTCATAGAATACCCAGGCCCCCTCCAGCACTTTGCAGGCATGGATTTCCCGGATGTGGAACTCGTCCATGACCGAAGGGCAGTCCTCCGTAGATTCGTACATCTGGCCACCAAAGTCCCCCTTCTCAAAGATCTGAATGCGGTGCTGGTCTCCACTGGACTGGAACAGGAGACAGAGAATCACACGTTGCTGGGCACAGCAGCACAGTTCAGGCTCATTCTCTCACTATACACAGGGAGCATAGGAACTGCCGGGCTGGATCAGACCTGAGTCCAGCTCATCCAGGATCCTGCCTCTGGCAATTGCCAGATGCTCCAGAGGAAGGTAAAGGACCCCACAACAGGCAGATGTACAGTAATCTACCTCCCACGGTTTTGTCCTAACCCCTGGTAGCTAGGGGTTGATTTACACAGTGGAGCAAGAGGTTTTGTTTCCCTCCCAGAACTCCGAGTAGCATCAGCTGTTATGCTACAAAACCCCTCGCTCATTGCGCTCCTGTGCAAGCGCCTTCATGTCCCAGTGGCTTTGGATGGTGGCTGCAGGAGGCCGCTGGCCATGGAGACCCTGGGTTTGCATGGGACTGTGCTGTTTATGAGCATCACAGGTGGACAATTAAAGTGGCCTCATTACTCTTGAGAGGTAAGAAACCTCCCCTTTCCCCCCAACCCTGGGGAATGCACTGATGATGGGAACATAGGGACTAGGAGAGGTTTGGGGGGAAGAGGTAGCTCCCAGGCGTATAAAAGGACAGGCCCGACCAAAACAATCGGCTGGCTTTCCAGTTCACCTGGGTTAGTTTGTTGCACCTCAAGGTGCCCTTAGGCTCCCCCAACCCCTGTCTGGATTTTTTTTTTTTTTTTTTTTTTTTTTGCTGTACCAGTATCGGCTCCTCCACTGCCCAGAGGCTTTAACACTTGAGCACACCCTGCAGGCTTAGAGGTCTGATTCTCCCCTGCTTTACACCTCATGTAGTCACTGGCCCATCTCCAGATGGTGCCAGATGCTGCCATCCTGCTATGCCAGCGTTAGGATCCCGGGGTGGAAAAGACTGGATGAGGGGCCGGGTAGGGCAAACCCAGGCTCAAGCGGGGAGAGGCCAGGGCACTGCTGGTGACGGATAAGAGATGCACTTTGGCTGGCTGCGCTTCAGTGTTTTAAACTGATTCCCATTGCTTTAACCCTTCGGTTGCTGCAGGTTTCAGAACTGGAGCCGCAGTGTGCCCCAGGGCAGTAAGGGGTCAATGAGATGGTGACAGCCTGTACTCACATTTCACATGTGCAAAACATTATATTGGCTGAGATTTCAAGCACTGAATAGCCATAAGCACTGCAAGGGTGTTAATCTGCAGCTTCCTGTGCAGCCTGGCCCACCTCATCCCTACCTCCCTGGTCTGTTACCACCACCAGCTCCAAGCTGAATGCCACTGTTTCCCTTCCTCAGGGCAGCTTGTTCCTCTTGCCCACCACACCAGAAAGGAACGCTTCACTGCTGCCCTGGATGAGCTGGAGTCCCATATGCCCACGGGGGGGAAGTTTCCCATAACTCACATTCATCTAATGACGCCCTAGCTGAGTGCCCCCATCAGTTGGCTCTTTCAAGCACTTATCACAGCTGAAGGCAGTCACATACCACTACGAGGCCTTGGCATTGGTGAAGGCAGCACGGGAGGCAAAAGACTCTAAACCAGGCACCAGCTGACTGGGTTAATAGTCAGAATTACAAGTTAAATACTTCCACCCACTGTTTAATTATAGAATATTAGCAGGGCTCCACCACTGTTAAAGCAACCAGAAGGGGCAGCTCTTTGAGACCAGTGGCAGGGGAGGTGGTGTCCTCAGAGGAAAGTCCTGCTGTTCCAGAGCCCCCTATGGGAAGGTATGCTCTGGCTGGAGGATGCTGGAGCAGCTGCTCATGCCCCAGGCCTGCCTCTGGAATATGGAGGCATGCAGTATTTAATGCGTTGGATTTCCCTCCTCTGGCAGGGGCAATGCTCTGGGCACTAGCTGGCTGGACACTGGTTTATCACCTCTTAGTTTACACTCCTTGGTTGCCACAGGCATCACTGTTAAGCACATTGATTGCCTCCAGCATTACACTGAGACTTGCCCCCCCCCTCCTTCCGCATGACCTGCATTTTTAGGGATGTTCTTTATTCCATATTTAATAGTTCATGGGGCAGCTGCACTACAGAGATACAAAAGCATTTGATCAGATAAAAACATTTCCAACCAACACATGAAGGACGATGCACAGGGTGCTGTATACCATCAGTGAAACACTGCTGAGCTGCATCCCTTTCAAAATCAGCTTTGGCCTGTACTTTTGATGCACCTGGCTTTTATTCCCTGCCAGTGGAGAGGGTCACATGAATGCCAGCAGCGGATGAAAGCTTCCCTGCTCTTCACAGCCTAGTCATGGCAACGGGTTCCTCACGCTGGCAGGCTGAGCACAAGCAGCAAAGCCTTCCTTTGAAAGAAGGGCAAAGAAAGCCAGCCAAGCACTGTGTTCTCCTTTGATAGCCACGGGAACTCCCAGCATAGACTAAGGAAGGGGGATGCCCTGGGAAAACTGCCTGCACTTCGCTCAGGGTCCCCTTTGCCTGTACTCAGGGATACACGCCTTGGTTACCCTGTCACACCCTGCCAGCCTCAATGCCAGGCTGCCCTACATTCCCTTCCTCTAAATTTTTGGAAGGGAACCAGCCTTCCCATCCACCTTATGCATCAGCTGTTTCTTTCACACCACTATTGAGCATTCGCTGCCCCTTGCTCACTCAGCAGGTTGCCCACGGGGTGAGCTGGTTGCCAGCGCAAGCTGCAGGACAGATCCAGATCCACTCCTGTGTAAGAGCAGGTAAGCATGGATTCCTCAGTGAAGCAGGTACACAGCCAGTATTTCTAAAGGCCAGGCCCTGCGCTCTGCGAGTGCTGGCAGGAGCTACTGAAATGCTTGAACGGAGCGATTTGCAACCATGGCAGAATGAGAAACCTTAGATCCAATGTTCCTGCACTTGGGGCAGGTGCCTGAAGTGATACGGGGCTTAAAATTCCCCTTTTGTGCTCTCTAGTCTTGGGCAGTTGAGGGATCTATCTGGCTCAGGGCTGCTCCCCCTCACGCTGCTCCCCGTACTCTGCTAATGATCCTGAGAAGCAAGAACAGCCCTCCATGAGTTGGGGTTGTTCTCACACACTTCACTGCCAGCATATGGCAAAGAGCCCTCTACTAAAGGTCTTGTATCAAAACGCCATTGGCTTTATTTAACATCCTCACTGTCCTTCCCAGCCCCTGCTGCAGACAGCGAGCAACTTCCACGCAGGCCGCACGCGTACAGTGAAGCAGCTGGAAGTTTGAGTGAAAGGGATGGAGCCTGTGGCCAGTTGAGTCAATGGGAAAAGCAGGCAGCACGCTGTCTCGCGTCTCCAACCATACTTGGAATCCCAGGGAAGAGGGGGCAAGTGGTTTTATTTTTAATTAACTTTAACTAGGCACCAGAGTACGCCTAGGGGAACCATCCCCCTACCTACACCCCACCTCTGGGGGTTGGGGGCTGAGCTACTGCCTGGCAGCCATCTCCTCTCTCTAGTGCCAGTTGCACTGAAACTGAACGACCGGGAGATCGGTTCTAGCAGGGAGCAGAGTGGGAAACAAGCTACAGAGGGTCAGACAAACCCAGGCTGGCACAGGCCATGCAGGGAAGATTCTCCAAAGCAACTGAGTGGGGAGTACAAATCCCAGGGATGGAAATTCCCAGGGGGCTTCTGCCCCTAACTGACATAGGTGCTTAGGGAAATGTCACCATGTGTACACACCAGCTGCTGCAAACTGCGTCTGCCAGGAAGAGGAGCAAAGAGAGTAGATGAGCAAACTAAGGAAAACAGGGTACAGAGTAACCACCTCCCCGTATAAATTCCAAACCCCAGCTGCCTAGAAGCGAACTGCAGCAATGTTATTTCCAAACAAAACTACACTGACACCCCAATTGTTAGAGGTACCCACTGAAACTTACCTACAACCTGCCCAAAGCAAACTGCTTTTCTCACTGAAATCAGTGGGGGAGTTTCTCTCTATCTGTTGACATCACATTTCTTTGCACCACTTCACCGGGTCATGGGGAAGCTCAGAGCATTTCCCTCTGTTGTGGGTTAGACTGAGCTGCAGCAGCGTTTCAATAGAACTACCGCCACGTTCTACGTGAAAACACTGAAGCTTTCCTGGGAAGATTTTCTTACTCTCTCTGCCTTCCCAGGGTTGTGGTTTGTTCACTTGCCCCTTAGATTGCAACCTTCTGATGATGCAGAAATTGTCCCATGTGACCTGTTGGGATTCTCTTAACCTCGTTCTCAAGTATATCTGGGAATATCCCAACCGTTGTGTTATGGAGGAGAAGCAGCAACACGTGTGCTTTGGGGGAGACTGGGGAGAGGAAGGGAAAGTCAGACTTACTAAGTGAATGGCTTTGCATGAGCTGAGGCGGTCATTAAGGCCCATCCAGCGCTGGTACTCGGGGTACTCGCCGTGGGTTAGAACGTACATGTTCCCTGCAAAGTTAGGCCGCTCATAGACAACCCAGGCACCCCCCTCCACTCGGATGGAGTTGCAGCGGCTTAGGTAGGTGTGAAAATCAGGGCAGTCACTGTCACACTCATAGCGACGGCCCTGGAAATGCTTGTCTTCGTAGAAAGTGATCTGAAACACAAGCAAAGCAGAGAGAGGGGAGGTTCCTTCTTTCAAACAGATGGTGACGGCTCAGTCGATGACTCTTGGGCAAAAGCAGCGAAGAGTCAGGCTGAGGGGGTGAGAACTGCAAGTGCTGTCACTGAAGTAAGCATGCGTTAGTTAAAACCGTACCATTTGAACAAGGCTGACTCCTTAGCTACTGCCTTTAACATAAAGGCACATCATTAACCGTGAGCAGTTAAAGGGACTGCCCTGGGAAGAAATGACAAAACCTAATATTATTAGAATGGTTTGAATGACATTCAAAGAAAGATGCAATAAAAAAAATTGGGGTGGGGGAGAGGGTTGCTTTGGTTTAAATTGCTTGCAGTGGGCCCAATCCTGTGAAGCCTCATACCAACCAATAGTCCCTAGAGGAGCGAGTAGCCCGAGGGAAAGCCAGTTTTGCAACAAGAACGGCAGGGTTGGCACCGCTGTTTGCAACCCAAACACCACAGTTCTGTTCTAATTTTGAAGAATGAAACTGTCTGTTTTCATTGGCCACGCTAAGGGAAATGCAAAAAGTAAACAAACCATCGAGAGGGAAAAGGCTAGTTTGGTTCACATCTCTTGTCATTTTAATTATTTCAGGAATGGTTTGTAACAGAGGTAAAGACATTTAGGCTCCAGTCCTCTAAATACTGTGTGAGAGAGCTACTCGCGTGCTTTAAAACTAAGTACGTGAATGTTTGCATGATCGGGCCTTATCTATTAACTGCATGATTTTCCCTTTCATAGTTCTCGGAGTCTCTATGTATAACATACATCAGCCTGTTTCCACTTCCTAAGCTATGATGCCTTAACATGACCATTTTGTTTTACCAGTGAAAAAAAGTTTCAAAAGTGAAATTTGTAAAATACATTTGACTTCCCTCCCCCATCCTCAATTTGCTTTAACCAAGCAAATCAAAGTTTTGTAGTCACAGAGAACAATTCGCTGCTCCTGTTTTCAGGCTGCTTCCCGTCCCCCTTTAAACATGACCACAAAGAGAACTGAGAACCCGTGAAGTTTATGTCCACAGAGCAAAGAATGGACTAACAATAAAGATCAGTATGTCTAGCCTTAGTGAGAAGAGCTCATGGGAATGTGTAAGGAACATGCTCCTCCCCACCAGCCCTCCACTAAGCTCCTTTCACACACACAGACTTCACTGCAGGTGGGCACAGATCCTTAGTTCAAGTGAGATGGCTCAGCTCAAACCCGCAGGGAAGTGACAGGTGAATTCTGGATTGCAGTTCTAAACTCCCGGCCCATCTCTGCAATGGCCTGACAACACACACAGTGCTTGGAGCTCAGCAGCCTGAAATAGCCGTCACATGTGACATTCCAACCCCTCAGTCAAACAACCAACCTCCTAGTATAACTCTACCCCATTAACTGCCAGAATGCCAAGGTAGGGGCTCCACAGCACATAATGCATTTGGGGTAATAGGTGCTTGTGTGGGCCCCATTACCATAGCATCTGAGCTTCTTACAATCAGTAACAACAGCCCATGAGGCAGGGCAGTGCTGGCGTCACTATTATACAGGTGCCAAGCTGAGGCAGAGAGAGGCTAAGTGACTTGCCCAAGGTCACACAGCAAGTCTGTGGGACAGCAGGTCTCCCGAGTCCTAGGCTAGTGCCCTAACCACTGGACCATCCTGCCTCTCGGAGGACACTGGAGCCTCCTGCTCCCCACAATTTAAGTTACATCAGCAACAAGAAAAGAAGTTAGTGAAGCAGCGAATGAACCTTTGTCCTTGATCTTTAGTCAGTTACTGTCCGCCAGCAGGCTCAGCCCCAACACCACCAGCTGTCAGACAAAGCACCTTTCCCCCTGCTTAGAAGATCTTAGGTCCCAGTAGTGAAGTAAGTTCTACATGAGCAGACCCTTGTGCCCACCTGATACTGGGGCAGGTCTCTGTCTGCCTGCAGCGCCCTGTTCTCATGCTGCGATGGGACTCGGAGACAGGAGCGGATGACAAGAATATTTTGCACGGCATGCCTGTGCAGTGTCATTGTGCCCATTTTACATACGGGCACACAGAGCAATGAAGGGTCACTCCAGTGTGTCCCCCAGTGGGAGTAGGAAGTTCAGAATTTGGCTGTATCTGCCCAGGGTCACTCAGCAAAGCAGCACCCGACTGGGAACCAGCACCTAGGCTCTCAGTCTCATGCACTTTGATCCATAGGCAGAATGTAGGGTTGTGAGCTATATCCCTGTCTGCTTTAAACCTGCTAGGAGTCCAAAGTGTAGGGCCTGCTCCCAGCCCCACTGAAGTCAGTGGGAAAGCTGCTCTCAACACCCCTGGGTACAGCCCTGGAGTCTGAGGGTATGTCTACCCAGCATTTTGGAGCACCAGACTTGGGCTTGCGGGGCTCACGTTGGTGCTCTAGAAATAGTGGTGTAGACAGCACTTTGAAGCCGCAGCTTGGGCTCTGAAGGCTAGGGAAGGGTGTGGGCTTCAGAGCCCTAGCTCCAGCCCAAGCAGCACCTTCAAAGCGCTGTCTGCACAGGTATTTTTAGAGTGCTGGCACAAGCCCTGCTAGCCCAAGTCTGTCACCCCAGGCTGGGAGGCTCACTCCAAAACGTTGGAGTAAACATATCCTGAAGCAGCTCAGGTGTCTGGGCAGTGCCCTCTTTGGCAGTATGATACACTTCACACAACTGGTCTCCCCCCCGCCTGTGATCAGAGAGTCAGGCATCAGCATCCCAGCAGTCACGCTGTACTTTCTCCTCGACAGCCTAACTATGGAGCATACACTGGTGCTGGCTGCTAGCTTTGGAACTCAGATGCTTTGCAGACAGACCGCGCATCTTCCCGCAAGCTTGCCACGCTCTCCATGGCACAGCAGTCCTCCCCAGTAAGACACCGAGGAGAGCATGAGGCACTAGGCACATTTGAAAGTCTCCCCAACAGCCACAGCATTCACCTCCCACCTCCGCTCTCCTGATGTACCATAGCAGAAAGAGAAATATCCAGTGTGAAGAAAAAGGGAGGAGAGACCATCTTTGTCACTCAAAATACAGCCCTGTATTTTAAAGTCATTTTATCTGCCTGAGGGAGCTTTCGGTTTGAAAAGCTCCTGTCCCCAGTGGAAAAGCCACGTACATTTTTGAAACACTTGCTTTTTATTAATTGATCTTCTTTCAGAGAAATAGACTCTCCTACCACTGTGCTAAATTCTGCTCCATTACCCTAAGCTCTTTCTGCACTTCTGCCATATTTGTAAACAAGAGCAGCTTCCTAAGTTGCATCTCTTCCCCTCGGAAAGATACACACACAAACTTACCCTGGTTCCTGTTTTGGACATTGTCCGTTCTAGGCACTACACCCTAGCTGCTGCAGGAATTCCAGGAGCACCTGCAAAGACCCAGAATCTGGGGGCCCCTTTTTATAAGGCTCCTTTTGTACCAGACATTCGCTTTGTCATGAGAATGGGATCCAAGAATTGAGTCAGTGATTCTAGGGCTAGGGATTGTTTCTAGAAAAGCAAACAGGATTAGGGAATAAAGGGAGGCTTCGCTATGCTCTTTATTTTTTTGCTGTTGCATCATCAGAGCTGAATGGTCTGCTGAGTCAGAACACCAAAACTCGGTCAAAAACATTCCAACTAAGAAGCCCCCTGCCTGGGGGGATGACACAGTTTGGTTGCTCTCTCTGCTTTGAACATGCTAAAAAAGATTGATCACCGACTAGAATCCAAGAATCTTAGGCCCTACACCCCTCTGTAAAAAGGGACCAAGCCTTGTGAGAGGACATTTTCCAACTGTTGCAAGGTGCTGTGGTGACAGGTTTCATAAACACACGCTCAGCAGAAGGGTGGGAAGAGAGCTGGAGAGAATGGCCTCTGCTTAGAGGAATGTTTGTGCAGCAGTGATAACACTGAACCGGGCAGTGTAGCCTAGTGGATAGTGCATTGGACTCTGACTCAGTAGACCTGCATTCTATACCTGGCTCTGCCAATAGTCTGCTGGGTGACCTTGGGCCAGTCACTTCTCTGTGCCTCAGTTTCTCCATCTATAAAATGGGGATAGCAATATTGACCTATGTAGAGTGCTTTGAGATCTAGGGCTCTCTAGATAAGACCTAGTTATTTCTATAGCACCCTCCATCTGAGGGGCTCAAACTGCTGTTAAGAACATTAACAGACATACCCGGGGAGGGATTTTTACCCCCATTTTACGATGAGGAACGTGAAGCACAGAGGGATTAAGTAAGCTGTCCACAGTCCCACAGGAAGTCCATGTCAGAGTCAGGGACAGAACTAAGATCACCTGTGATTTAACCATAAGACCATCTTTCTTAGGAACACCCTTATACTGACTCGATGCACTGGGCGAGGTAAATACTTAACACAATCAAAGCAGGGCACAAAACAAGGAACACAGGGGTGTAGATGTCTGTGCCCCCAGAAGTCACTCTGTTATAAACACCTCTCCAGCTATTGCCGGCACCACTCCAAAGGCTTAGAGAGACAAAGACAGCAGATGAATTTGGCAAGCAGCGCCTGAACCACTCAGCTGTTATTTCAAGTCTGTCAGAACGGATCCATTTCATCCCAATGATTCCGCATGCTTCTGTCTACACCAGCACACCTTTAAACCCTGCCAACTCCAGAGGCACCCTGAGGCCGATTGATCTAGATATCTGCCCAATGGCATCCCATTCTCCTTCCTGCCTAATCCTTTAAGTATCAGGGTCTGTGGCTTACACACACTGGTTTTCTACTAGATGTGAGGCCACTCACCACCATTAATCCAAGAGCTGTTTATGAAGATCCCAGCATCCAGCCTAGGACCCAGCTCCCACTGAAGGGTGCTATAGTGGCTCGGTATATTAATCCCAGAACTGGATTCCCTTTTGCTATCCCACGTCCCCTTTTAAATGCTGGGTAGGTGCAAGTCAGAGCCAACACCTCCATTTCTTCCCTGGGCCTAGGACAGACAGCCACTTGTGGAGGTCCGGGGGGGCAGGGGATGGGGGAAGAGGAGTTTGCATGAGTAAGTTGTCCTGTGGGGGGCAAAATTGTTACATTACAAAGCTATGAGGGTGTGTTGCCAAATTAGATTTTTATCATCATCCTGCAAATATGTAAGACAGATTCATCATCATCCACTTTGGATTGGGTAGTAACCCGAGGGTGTAGCTGGGTTTGTCCCACACCTCTAAGAGCCACGTCCAAGTCTTACCTTCACTTGTTACTCAGGCAAAACAAACACTCACTGTAACTTCAAAGTTACAAAAACAGGAATAAACCTCCCTCTTAGCATAGGGAAAATTCACAAGCTAAAACAAAAGAATCTAATGCATTTCCTTGCTATTATTTACAATTTCTGTAATTTTTAGATGTATCAGTTCAGGATCTTTTTAGAAGCTGGGTTACCTGCTTGGTCTCTCTCTTTGTCCTAAGAGGGAACCAACAAAGAGAACAAACCCAACCCCCCCCCCCAGATTTGAAAGTATCTTCTTTCCCCATTGGTCCTTCTGGTCAGGTGCCAACTAGATTAATTGAACTGATTAACCCCTTACAGGTAAGTGATTCTGTACCTCTGGCCAGGAGGGATTTCTGTTACTGCATACATAAACCTTATTACCCTTCCCTTTATATTTATGACACCCACTGATGGCTAGGAGAGTTTTGGCTGAACACCAGAAGACTAGATCACCAGCTGCTGTCAATCAGATGTCACTCCTCCACTGAAGTCAATGGAGCTATACCAATTTGCACTAGCTGAGCATGTGGCCCCACTGTCTCTCCTCAGACCATACCTCAACCCCCTTCTCTCTCCCACTTACTGGCTCCAGGAGCCCGCTGGAAATGCTGACTCATGCATGCATAGGTCCAGAAGATGTTGAGGCTAGAGCATCAGATCCCGTTATTTTCCTTGTGCTCCACACGTTTGGTTTCTCTGTTTCACATTTGCCAGTTGGGTGGTTCAAATAAACATCTCACTATGTTGTATGTAATCAACCACGCAGCAGCTTGCCTCACTAATTGTGAACTGGTCAATCAGATGTACCCCACGAGCCCTGCTCATGCCCTGGGTCAGCTGGCTCAAACTTGAGGGGCATCAGCTGAGGAGCTAAAAATTGCAGCGTAGACATTCAAGCTCAGGCTGGAGCCCAGGTTCTGGGACCCTCCACCCTCGCAGGGTCCCAGAGCTCAGGCTTCAGCCCAAGCCCAAATGCCAAGCTGACTCAGGCCAGCCGTGGGTAGTTTTTATCCCAATGTGGACATACACTTGGAGACTGGTTGTCTTGAGAGCAGATATTGAGGGTGAGACCCATTCCCGCTGATTTTCAACTGTGGGAAGCTGAAATATTGATGACAGGAAAAGCTGCTCAGATCAAACTACTGTTGTGACAGGGATGCCACAGCTGATACTAAACTCACTGACCTCCAGGACTGAGAGGTCTCACCCACTGTTCCTAAGGGAACTAATGTTCCCCCCCACATGGAATATGACCACATATTCCACACCGCAGGAGCTAGAACCGTAGGTGGCTGGTGAAAATATTCTTTGTGGTGGGAAGAAATGAGTCAAAACAGTCAGACACTGCTCTCCAGTGCACGTGTGCGGGTTGCTCTCTCCATCCCAGCCTGTGTGCAGGGGAGGGCAATAGGAGAGTGAGCCCACCTCACCCGCACAGGGCTGAGCCCAACTCTCCACTCTGGCCTGTTGACTCTCAGAATTCAGAGATTTACTGTGGCCGGCTCTTCTAAATGTGAGGGGGATGAGTGAGGGGCTGTAACAGGAGGTGGTTTTGTGAGGGTTGGGTTTATTTGGGGGCAGTAGGACGACATTGGGTGAGGGGTTATTTGGGGGCTGGATGGCGGTGTCTGGCTCCTTTCTCTGCAGCCCCTTCCCTCTGGCCCACTCCCTCCCTGTGTGGCACCAACCCCAGAGCCAGATCTGCTCCCAGGCAACAGCAGAGAAGGCCTTGCCCCCACCACACCAGCACGGGGCATGGCTGCACTTTGGAGGGACTCTGCACCATGCAGGGGCCTGGCACCCCCCTCTTGCGACTCTCCCTGCTTGTCCTGCTACTTGGCAGCCAGGCAGCTCTGTGCCAAGCCAGCCTTGGAACTGCCAGAGGCAGAGTTTCACCCACTGAGCTGGGCTGTTGCTCAGATCTGGGGGGCTGAGCCCCCCAATCCTTGGCCACCTCATTACTGAGAATTTTTTTCCTAGGAAAGATGCTTGACTTGGCTTAAAATTCCATTTATTGACATTTCACAGAAGCAAGGAGGAGGCAAAGAAAAAGACCTAGGCAATTTCATGAAACTTCATCCTTTAAGTGCTAACGCCATCTCCACATAGAAAAATACCTGAAGTTCATTTTACACACGGGAGAGGGGGGGGGGGAAAATAAATCAAACATTTTCTTTTCATTTATGAAAGGGAGCAACAAGCTCTTCCCCAGACAGGTACACATAACAGCCCCATGACCCTGCAGCCAGTGTCACACCAGCGAGAGTGCCTTCGCAGGATACATACATGCCCAGAATTTTAACTAGGCACCCACCCTGCCTAAGAGGCCCACAGCAAGGCGCAGGCTTGTCTTTGCACCACCTTTCCTTACCACGTAATCCTTCATCTGGTTTCCTCCTGAAGCCGGCTGGAGAGTTGATGTACCCCAAGTCCTGGAAAGGAGCAAGGTGATGCAGTGATGTCTTGAACAGGACAAAAAAAAGAGTCCAGCTCATGCTGATGCCGAGGTCCAGATATCCTAATTAATTTGCAACACCACAGGAGTGTCTAACCAGCATGGCCCCAAAGTATTCACTGGAAACCACCGTCAGTTTGTCACCATCCATCTTCACAACGCTGTAACAAAACACAACTTCACTCCAACCATGCAATCACCAACAATTCAGTGACTTCCCCTCCCCAGGCCAACAGCTTGTGGAGAAAAACCCAGAGCATGATCAGTTTGACCTAGCAAACTATTCCTCACCCTTTGAAATGTGTGGTGATTGTACCCATACCAGGGGCAAGTGTCTGGCTCCTTGTGCACCACCACTAGGAAATTCAAAAGATTATATGGGAAAGAATTCTTTGAGGCATCAAGGAAGTGGCCACTAAGGGCTTGTCTATAGAGGGATTAACCCGCAGAATTAACGCACAATACACCTCTACCCCGATATAATGCTGTCCTTGGGAGCCAAAAAAAAAATCTTACCGCGTTATAGGTGAAACCGCGTTATATCGAACTTGCTTTGATCCGCTGGAGCCCCCTCCCCCCCCCCGAGCACTGCTTTACTGCGTTATATCCGAATTAGTGTTATATCGGGTCGTGTTATATCGGGGTAGAGGTGTATTAACTCAATAATTAACCCAAGCTGCACTAATAGTGTACACATGGGCTGGCTGTGCCTTCTTTCAGTTTGCATCTCTGTGTCCAGGCGGCAAGGGCTTGCTGTGCACTAAGTGCATGGCATTCTCGGAGGGTATCCCATGGTCCTTTGCTTCAATGCTAAGCAGTGTGCATGCTGGGGTGGTTCTCGCTGCATGCGGTGGGATGCAATGAAGAAGCCAGTGGAATTCCAGGACTTGGAGTAAATACAAAAACATCCCATGCTTCAGCTCTCTCCAGCCCATCATTCCTCTCTTTCTGGAGAGGCAAGTGCCGTTTGCAAATTGCTGTCAGCCAGCATGGACCCAGCAATGCTCCACACCACTATGCTGGCAACTGCACATAGGTAGAGGCTGTTTGGGATGTAGTTCAGCTCTCGAAGCTGAGCGACTTGGCTTTGTCTTTGGACTTCGCCCACCGCATTACCAAGCGGATATGGCGGCTCCAGCAGCAGCTCCTTCAGCAGCAGGTTGGGCAGTGGTGGAGGAACAATGAAAGATGAGGATGAGGAAGACAAGGACAACACAGAGCAACTGCTACTACCAGAGCTGTTCCTGAAGCAGGGTCACACCGTGCAACACCTTTTCAGGGCTTGGGAAACGCCCCAGTGGGGATTGGTGGGAAAGGATTGTTCCATAGACCTGGGACGACCAGCAGTGATGAGAGAATTTCAGGATGGCAAGCCCCAGAGCTGCAGTGGTGGCATACCAACATGCGGTGCCCAAACCCAGAGAGACACTGGTCGCCAATGCCACGTGCAAGCCGGTCACCTCCTAATGCTACTGGTTCATAACCAGCCAATTCGTAATATTCAGGAGAAAGTTGATGGCTTTGCACGTGTGGGGTTCCCACATAGCACTGGGGCAACTGATGGGACCCACATGCCAACTGCTTGTCCCCCGCACCATGGCTCAGAGTGTATAACCACAGGGATATTTCTCCATGGTGTTCCAAGGGCTGGTTGACCACCGTGGCAGGTTCACAAACATAGGGTGGTCTGGAAAGACCCACAATGCTAGGCTCTTTCAACACTCAGCTCTAATTATCTGAATGAATAAAGGAGAATTTGCCCCCAGCATCATTCTGGACATTAATGATGTGGCAATTGCTCCAGTTATCGAGCGAGACTGCTGCTGCTGCCCTGGTTCATGATCCCATCGCCTCAGTAGCTGCAGAATGACAGCAGAGTGTGCATTTGGCCATCTGCAAGGAAGGTGGCACTGTTTGTGGAATAGGTTAGAAGCTGGAAAAAAAAACCCATGCTGTAGGTTACATTCTGCACAATATTTGAGATAGTAAGTGAGAAAGCCTTTCCGATGGGTGGGAGGCTGTGGTGCAGAGACTTGCTCAGGGGTTTGAGCAGCCAGCAAAATGTCCAATGGAAACAGCCAGTGCAGTATTGTCAGGGATGTCTATGGCTCCTGGAGTTTCAGGCCTGAAAATGCGCAGCTATACATCCAGCTGTTATCCCAACTGGGAATGGATTGTGAGCTGTGCAGTCTCTTTGATAGGTGGTAGATGTGGCAATCCTTATTTTATCTTGTCTGTGCCTTTACCCTTTTGTAAAAACCTCTGACTTAGTCAAAATGAATGGACTGCCTGTATAAAGTGCATCGCTGACTCTTTCTGAATGGATTTTTAAACCAGCAGAAATGAAGCTTTAAAGCTTTGCTTCATTGTTTAATTAAAGTGACAGTGCAGTGGACGGCAGACTACAACAAGGGATGAGTACACGCCTCGTTGTTGCCTCTTGTTCTTGGGGCGTCTGGTATTGAGTGGCAGGGCTCGAAGTTATCAGGTGCACTGGATGGCTCAAAAGCGCTGCGTTCCCAGGTGCAATTGCTCTCTCTGCCCTGAGCTTGGGCCAGTGAATGGCCTCTGAGAGCATGACTGCAGGGGTACAGCGGGGAACATATGCTGGTGTTCCCAGTACCCTGTGTTGTCCAGGGGCTGCAGAAAAAACGGTTACTCACCTCTCGTAACTGTTGTTCTTCGAGATGCGTTGCTCATATCCATTCCAATTAGGTGTGCGCGCACCACGTGCACAGTCATTTGAAAGTTTTTCCCCTAGCAGCACCGTCGGGTCAGCTGTGGAGCCCCCTGGAGTGGCACCTTCATGGAGCTCAATATATGACCCTGCCGACACGGCGCCTCCTCAGTTCCTTCTTGCCAGCTAGTCCGACAGAGAGGAAGGCCGGTGGGTTTGGAATGGATATGAGCAACACATTCCGAACAACAACAATTACGAGAGGTGAGTAACCAATTTTTCTTCGAGTGATTGCTCATATCGATTCCAATTAGGTGACTGCCCAACCTTACCTAGGTGGTGGGGTCAGAGTTAAGGAATGCTGATTGGCGCACCGCTCTGCTGAACGCCGCATTGTCTCTGGCATGCCGGACGATGGCATAGTGAGAGGTGAAGGTATGTACCGAGGACCAAGTCACTGCCCTGCAGATTTCTTGGATCAGGACCTGGGCCAGGAATGCTGCTGACGAGGCCTGGGCCCTAGTGGAGTATGCCGTGAGAGCCGGGATCGGCACTCTGGCCAGTTCATAGCACGTGCGGATGCAGGAGGATATTCTTTGAGATGAGACCGGGAGGCCTTTCATCTGGTCCGCCACCGCTATGAACTGGTTTGATTTTCTGAACAGCTTAGTGCGCTTGATGTAGAAAGCTAGTGCTCTTCGAACATCGCAGGAGTGCAGCCGCTGCTCGTGGTTACTGGCATGAGGCTTAGGGTAAAAGACAGGCAGGAAAATGTCCTGGTTGGTGTGGAAGTGCGACACCACCTTGGGGAGAAAGGCCGAGTGTGGCCTGAGTTGCACCTTATCCCTGTGGAAAACCGTGTAAGGTGGTTCAGAAGTGAGGGCCTTTAGAGCTCAGACACCCTCCTCGCAGAAGTAATGGCAACCAGAAAAGCTACCTTCCATGACAGATACAGGAGGGAGCAGGTCGCCAGTGGTTCAAATGGAGGCCCCATGAGCCTGGAGAGGACCAGGTTAAGGTCCCATGCAGGGACAGACTGCCTGATCTGGGGATGTAGGCAGTACAGACCTTTGAGGAAGCCACCAACCATAGGATTGGCGAAGACGTATCGACCAGACGCTCCAAGGTGGAAGTCCGAGATAACAGTGAGGTGTACCCTTATGGAGGACGCCACCAGGCCTTGCTGTTTCAGGTGTAGGAGGTACTCCAAGATGAAAGGTACCAGCGCCTCTAGAGGGGGTGTATGACACTGGTCACACCAGCACAAGAATCTCTTCTACTTCGCCAGATACGTGGCTCTAGTGGAGGGCTTTCTGCGGCCGAGGAGGACCTTCCTTACTTGTTCTGAGTACAGAAGTTCCATGGGGTTCAGCCATGAAGCTTCCAAGACGTGAGGTAGAGGGACCGTAGGTCAGGGTGACAGAGGCGACTGTAGCCCTGAGTGAGTGAGTAAGTCGAGGAGGAGAGGTAACGTGACCGGTGCGTCCACTGACTGCTCCAGTAGAGTAGTGCACTAGTGTTGTCGAGGCCACGCTGGAGCTATAAGAATTACCTTTGTCCCCTCCCTGCAGACCTTGAGCAGGACCTTGTGCACGAGAGGGAACAGGGGAAAGGCATAGAGCAGGTGACGTCTCCAGTGTAGCAGGAATACGTCCGTGAGGGAGCCTGGGCTGTGACTCTGGAAGGAGCAGAAGGTTGGGCACTTCCTGTTGCGTCAGGTGGCAAACAGGTTGATCTGGGAAACCTACACCTTTGGAAAATGAGGTGTATGACATCCGGTCGGAGAGACCACTCGTGTGCGCGGAAGGACCTACTGAGGCCGTCCACCAGCGTGTTCTGAACTCCTAGTAAAAAGGATGCTTCCAGGTGAATGGAGTGGGCTATGCAGAACTCCCACAGCTGGAGGGCCTCCTGGCATAGGGGAGAGGAACGGCTTCCCCTTGCTTGTTGATGTAAAACATGGTGGTGGTGTTCTCTGTTAGAACTGCTACACACTGGCCTTGTAGTCAGGCCCGAAAGGCCTGGCAGGCTAGGCACACCGCCCTCAGTTCCTTGATCTTGCTATGTAGGGACAGCTCATCCTGGGACCACAGGGCCTGTGTCTGGAGATCTCCCAGATGCACCCCCATCCCAGAGCTGGCGCGTCCGTGACCAGGGACAAGGAAGGTTGAGGGCTGTGGAAGGGGACTCCTTCGCACACAGCTTGAGGATTGAGCCACCAGAGGAGGGATGTAAGGACCTGCCCTGGCATCGTGACCACTGAATTCAAGCTGTTGTGCCCCAGGCGGTAGGCCGAAGCGAGCCATGCCTGCAAAAGTCTGA